TAGGGACTTGGTCAGACTGTCCGACCTTACCCTTTCCCTTTCCTTTGAGATGAGAAACCCTTTTCCTTTTAGTAGAACCATGATCAATGGCCAATACTGGAGCAGTAGGGTTGGAGTTGTTGGGTTTCTTCATGCTCACCTCAGCCTTCTTGAGCATTCCATGCAACTCCATCAAGGTCTTATCGAGGTTGTTCATATTAAAGTTCATGATGAACTACGAATATGAATTACTAAGCGAGTTCAAGACCATGTCGATGGTAAACTCCTTAGGAAACTCGACACCTAGATTTCTAAGTCTGTCTATGTACGACTTCATCTTTCGGGCGTGCGCACATACAGATGCTCCTTCTTGTTGTTTACATGCCATGAGGGACTTGGCGATCTTGAATCGCTCTTACCTAACTTTCTCTTGGAACATTTCTTCTAGCTGCTGATTTATGTCAAAGGCGCCCCAATTTTTAAAGTTCTCCTGGAGACCAGAAGCCATGGTCGCTAAGATAAGGTAAGTCACTTTGGTCGACTCATCATAATGCTTGTTGTAGGCAGTAACTTCATCTGGGGTAGCTTTCTCTCCAAGTTTGGGAACATCATCATCGAGAACATACTCTTTGTTCTCATATCTCAACGTGAACCTTAAGGTTCTGATCCAATCAAGATAGTTGGATCCATCCTCATTGAGTCTTTCCCTGTTCAGAACTGACATCAGAGAGAAGCTTGAGTTTTAAGTTGGTGGAGGACGAGGAGGGTGAAAAGGAGGATTGTTGTTGTTGTTGATTGGGATCGATATCTACAAAAGATAAGATTCCAATTATTTTGATATATAAAATCCTTAATAAATAATCACCCTAAAACAAATTATTAAATTAAGGCTAGGATCCATATTTGGCTTCATGATGTGTAAAGGGATGTCGTAAACACACCATAAAGTTATTTAGGTAGACAAAGCTCTTTGTCAATTTCGATCACTACGAAATTCCTAGATCTCTGAGATTCATTGACTATCAATGGCATATTAATCTCGAATTATGTTCATCTCAAATTCAATGACAGGGATGTCGTGGATCATTGAACATATGGTGAATCACCCATACAAAATAGTGTGGTCCCCGGCTCAAGTTACGCTTGAGATTCGTGAGTCTCACATCATTCTCTACTTAAACTCTCAAATTGATGTGCCGGTTAACCACACGAGCTCCATCAACAAGTTATAAAGAGAATGTGCAATTTTTATGGATAACATAAGATTCACTTTTAATTAAATAAAACATGATTTTGTTTTATACTTGTATTTAGAATACTTTTAGATTGACCATTATCACTATCAAACCCTTTCGGTAACTCCATTCTCAAAATGCAATAGGGCGGTGAGGGTGGTAAGCGCAAAACATATTAAAAACCGACCTTATTAGGAATCATAGAGACCTCCTTAAAACCCTACATCATAATGGATGAGCCTAGTCATGGTAAGACTGACAATGTCAATATTTAAAACATGTGAGGACACAAGTTGTAACTTTTTGATACATATAGTAGATACAATTCTAATATATACAAGGGATAACTATAAAACTCTTTAAATTTAGTTGTCTAATATTAATTCCAATTAATTACGAAGATGCAATGTAATAATTAATAAAACACGAGGGGTTAATATTCAAATTGATAAATCTCTATTATAAATAATATTAAATATTTAAATTCATTATTTAAATAATAAATAAATATTGAAATTCAAATAATCATATTTACATAATATTTATCAAATTTCCAGATTTAAAACATTTTAAATATGGCATTTATCCATATTTAACAAACCTTCAAATTTGAAAAATGAAAAATTAAGGAAACCCTAAAATCGGCGGGCTCACGTCGTGAGCAGGAAGCTCTTACGTCGTGAGCTGCGATTGAAGCTTTTATCAATTACGATTTTTTCAATCATTCTTCTTTCATTCAATTTCAAACAAGTTTTTTATAGAAAATATGGATCTATGGTGAATGTAATTATGAACCAATGACTCTGATATCACTGTTAGGTTTTCCACACATCAAATATACTCTAAACTAGGTAGTGGAAAAATCGAAACTACGATATACCTAAGTGTACATGAAACCTATGGATCTATGGTTTCATACTAATTACATCTACCCTACAAAACGAAATACAAAGGAAGAATCACATACCTCTTTTGCAGCTAAAGATCTTTGCGCTTGATTCCTTGTGCGTTCCACCTTGTTTGAATGATAAGGACCCAAACTAGAATCCATTTCTTGGTTCACACCCAATGAACTCAAGAGAGTAGAATCAAAATAACTAGGAGGGGATAAACTATAAGGCGAGTTCTTCTACAAATGAGGGAGAAAGAAGTGGCGAAAATCAAGCCAAAGAATGAGCAAGGAAGAATGAATCCCTAAGGCCTTATTTATAGCCCTGGATACCTTCCAGGGTTTTATCCTCAAGCCCATGTGGGATGGATAACCCTATGAACGAAATTCCCCTTATCCAAAGGGAATTTTCGTCCACCATCCTTCTTCCTAGGGTTCTGGAATATTCCTAATTAACCAACTATTGATTAATTGATATTCAACCCTTCTATTAATTAAACTGTTAATTAATTCCCAAATTGTTTTCTAATTAATTTCTAATTAATTATTAAACGATAATAATTAATAAACTAATTCCTCTTTTATTAATTCCTCTTAATTTGAGTCTTGAGGGCAACCCAAGAGGACCCTGTTATTATTAGAAATATCACCAATAGTTAATGACCTTCGACACAATTTCCAACAATTGGCAGTCTAGATGCTTTCAACTTAGCTTTACTTCAAAAGTGGTGATGGAGATATTTGAATGAAAACGATGCTCTTTGGATAAAGGTTATTTTCAAATTACATGGTTCTTACGGAGAATGAAGGCTTATTCTTTTGTCCTAGATTTGTGGTCACGATGTTTGGGCTCGAATTGTTGGTTCTATAAATACCATGCATGATAGGGGTGCTATCCTTCATTCATGTATTAAAAGAAAGATTTAAATATGGAAGTCTTACTAAGTTTTGGAGTGACATTTGGGTGGGAGGCGCTTCTTTGCAGTCTAGGTTCCCTAGGTTATTTCAACTTGAGGTGGAAAAAGATTGTTTAGTTCATGATAAATGTGGTGTTGGAGCTAACTGGATTTGGCGTAGGTTAATTAGAGGGGGTGTGGAGCAAAGACAACTTGATGGGTTGACTGGGATACAGGTGCTGATGAGTGGATTTGGAATTTGGTGGGGTCAAGTGTTTTCACAGTTAAAGATACACGACATTACATTGATGATATAACTCTTGCAGATGGATTTGCTGCTACTAAATGGAACAAGTACATGTCTAGTAAAATTAATATCTTATGTTGGCGTGTTCTTTGGGATAGAATCCCGATTAGGTGGAACTTGAGCAGGAAAGGTATTGAAATTAATTAATTGATGTGTCCTTTTTGTTTGCATTTTATAGAAAAGATAGATCACATTTTTTGGTTTTATGACTTCTCGAAATCTAGATGGAAAAGGGTTTTCAAATGGTGTGATGTGGTGTTCCTCAAGTTTATAACTTTCGTCAAGTGTTTAAATGGATATATAAGAATAGAACTTCGGCGGATAAGAAGATGATTCTTGATGCGATTGCTTGTGTGACTATTTGGATGATTTTGCATCATCAGAATGACATTGTTTTTAGTAATAAAATTTCTTGTAGTTAGTTGATTTTTAATAGTACATTGAATTCTCATTTTCTTGGCATGGTTTTAGAAACAAAAACAGTAAGGTTCATTGGAATAACTTGCTCCAAAACCTTTTTAGCTATTCCATAATATACTATAAATAATGTTTTTTATGATCGTCTTATTATTGCAATAATTTTATTAGATAACTTCTCATGTATTTTAGTATTGTTGGTAATTTTAAAATTACCATATTAAACAAATAATATATAATGTTAATTAAATGTCATCAAAATCGAGACAAAGCCTTGTTTGCTAAATAAAAAATTCAATTTTTGAAAAAATATATTTTTACTTATTTAAAAGAGATGTGAGGTTATGTCATTTTTTATAAAAGAGTAAAATAATTTTTGGTAAAACTAATATAATTAAATGAAAAATTGATCAAAACAAAATTTCAAATTGCATTCAAGAACTTATAACATTTAAATTATTTATAATGATAAGATGTTATTATAATTATTACTTTTAATAATCAATGCATTATTTATCAAGCAAAACAAACTCAAACATAAATTATTAATAATATATCTACATATTAGTTTATTATTTTAGTTTCTATTTAAAGATTTAATATTTTTAATTTATATTTCTCGTAAAATAAAAAGATTTTAGGAAGTTTTTAGTCCGGTTTTGTTTTATTTTTGTAAGATCTACCTTTCAAAATATTATATTTTTATAAAATTAGAAAGTATTTAATAAAAAAAATTATGAAGGGTGGTATTGTACTTTAGAAAGACCAGACATACAAATTAGAATCGATATACTGTAACAAGTATACAAACTATTAAGTTATAGCCCCTGCCCCACCCCACCCCACCCCCCAAACCAATTAACCATAGGGAAACACAAAGACAAGAGTCAATCAAAAACCAAACAACCCCACAAACTCCAACTCCTCTAGCTGTTTTTCTCTCTCTAGACCCCTTCCTTTTTTTATTCTTTCTCTCTCTCACTCTACCCCCAGCCCCAGGCGGCGGAGACTGGTGGTTGGTGGTGGTGGAGATGTTTCAGGTTTCTTGAACCCACCACTGAAGAAAAAGATAACCTTTTTTTAGAAAGAAAATAAAAGTACAACAAAAGGAGCACATGGAACGAACAGATTTGCAGAGCCATAATAAACAAAGCAGCACTACTACTCCCACCTCCAACACTAGTTCTTCTCACCACCACCACCACCATCACCTCTCCCACCATCTCCACCACCAACCCATGGTGGTCCCATTTGATTCTCGATCTGTAACCCCATTCATGGGCTCCATATCCATCCAACCCGGTCCATCTAACACTCCTACTACTACTAGTGGTGCTTCTTCTTCTCTTTCTTCTCCTTCCAACCAACACCCAACAACAGCCTCCACCTCCTCCGCCACACAGCTATCTCCACCGCATCCACACCTCGTCGACGCCTCCCTGGCCATCGCCACTAGATCCGAAGCTCTAACGGATCTTGCTAAAGAAAACCCTCAACCTGTCGCTGTGGTTCCTCCTCCCAAGAGGTCAACAAAAGACCGGCATACTAAGGTCGATGGCCGTGGTCGGAGAATTCGAATGCCGGCGACATGTGCCGCTAGGGTTTTCCAGTTGACGAGGGAATTGGGTCATAAGTCCGATGGAGAAACAATTGAGTGGCTGCTACAGCAGGCGGAGACGGCCATTATTGCCGCAACCGGCACGGGCACCATTCCGGCTAACTTTTCCACCTTGAACGTCTCTCTTCGTAGCACCGGATCCACTCTCTCTGCTCCGCCGTCGAAGTCCGCGCCTCATCAATTTCACGGCGCTTTGGCACTTGCTCACCACCCCTTTGATCAAGAAGGGTTCTCTCAAATGATGGGGTTTCATCAACATCACCACCAGCAACAACAACAGCAACACCATCACCATCAAAACCCTCATATTTTAACAGCTGACCAAATAGCCGATGCAATTTCCACCGGAGGCAACGGCGGAACCGGTGGCGATTCTACCGAGAATTATATGAGAAAAAGGTACAGAGAAGATTTGTTCAAAGACGAGAGTAATCAAAATCAAGGGGAAGTAACAGTCGGATCTACGTCACCATCCAACAAACAATTCAAAGGAGCCATGGAAATGCCAAAACAACAACAAGAAGCCGGAGGACCTTCTTCCGGTAACAATATTCTCCGGCACCATGCTAATATGATGCCGGCAACAGCCATGTGGGCGGTTGCTCCAGCACCCACCACTGCCACCGGAAACACCTTGTGGATGCTACCGGTATCCACCAGCGTCAGTAGTAGCAGCGGCCAACACTCTCATCTCGCCGGAGCCGCATCGGAATCGCAACACCACCACCACCAGCAAATGTGGCCATTCCCGACTGCCCAAGCTGTCGGCGGCGGAAACACACTGCAAGCACCACTCCATTTCATCCCAAGAATCAACATCCCGGCGGCGAATCTGGAATTCCAGCAGAATTCAAGAGCAAATCCCCTCCAACTGGGATCAATGCTGATGCAGCAGCAGCAGCAACAACAACAACAACCATCGCAACATCTGGGTTTGGGAATGAGCGAGAGCAATTTAGGGATGTTAGCGGCGCTGAATGCTTATTCCCGAGGTGGTTTAAACATGAATTCCGACCAAAATCATCCTCTAGATCACCATCACCATCCAAATCAAAATCAAAATCAACATCATTCACAAACTACTGACAGTGGTGATGAAGACCAAAATGATTCTACATGAGAGGTAACTTCATTGCATCATTTCATTTCTAAAATTAGCAAAACAATTTTATTTTATTTTAAATTCTTTCCATAATTTCAACCAACATTACATCAAAATTAATGGGTTTCCTTTACTTTTTGCAGACATATTGATGTTGAGTGTTGAATGAACCAAGAAATCCAAGAGGTATATGCTTCAATTATCATCTTGTTGTGCTGCTTTAATTATTAATGCTTGTGTTGTGTGTGAATGTAATTTGGTAGGTTTGGTGGAAAGGAGAGATAGTAGGTGATTGAGATTCAAGAGAGATTGTATAGAAGGATATATATTGATTTGTGTTTAGTATTTATAAATTTGGTTTGTTGATTCCAATTAAACTCAAAAAAACAAAATTCAGAAATGTGATTCAAAAACAAGTGTTCAATAATTACAATTTTGATCACATTATTTCATCTACTTACGGATTGATTATCCTCCTTATCTTATTAAAACAAACAGCAATTTGATAATATATTTTTATGACGAGATGATACAATATGGTAAAAAAAAAAATACAACAATCAATAAAGTGATTGGTTTATGAACTTCATGCAAAACACTAGTTTTAGATGATGTGTATCAATTTTATAACATTGGATCAATAAATATTGCATTTGTACCATTAATATAAGCCAATGCATTGGTTATGTGAATATGGTAATCTAAATGGAAAAAGGTTTCACCACTTTTAAAAAAGAAATGCTCATATGTCATGTGGACCATTTCTCATTAGTTACATCAAGTCGAGGGCAAAAGATAGGGCCAAAAACGCCTTTACCTTCCCTTCCTCATTTTGGAGAATAATACAACAAACATGATGATATAGATTCCTTTTTTCTTTTTAAACTTTCTCATAAAATGTGATAAACATTTATTTATATTTACTTTAAAACAAATAATGAAATGTAAATTCTTTAGGATTAGCAAAAGATTGATTGATGTATGTGTGTGTGTGTTTTAACCGTATGCACCAAATATGCATACCATTGTAGTCTATATGTATACATCCAGGTGTATAGGTCTTGTATATATGCCTTCAATTGACAAGTAGATCTATTTATTAGTGGGTTTATATTTGGCAAATCATTAAATAACGATTATTAAAAATATTTAAATATAGACAGTTTAGAACATGGGGTAGACAAATACTTATTTATATTTCGTGTTACGTAATCATACAAAAGTGGAAACATGCATGTTAGGTTGATTTCATGATAACAAAGTTGAAGATAATGTTTAGACAAATATAGTTATAGCTGTTGTAAAGGGCACCAAAGTCATTTCAAATGGTGATTCTTCTTCGGAGCTGCTGCTGGTGGTGGTGGATGCCGGTGGCCGGTGGATGGTGATGGTTCTCTTTTGTTTGTTATACATTTTCTTTTAGCATTTTATCTTATAAAAGCTATGAATGTTCCCCAATTCATCTTCAAAATTTTTGCCATGTTGTTTGTTGTTAAATTAAGAAACCCCACTTGGTCCTCAATATCTTGCTAAAATCAAGGGAAATTTCAGTGATTTGTTGATTGATTTCAAAATCTTTTGTAAAGTTAACACAATCCAAGAAAACCTACCCAAAAGTAGTGTGCTTTTGATGTGTTTGATGAGTTCATGAGTGGAAAAAGATATTTAATATGGAAGTAAGGTGGTGTGATTTTTACCAACATACCCTTTTGTTTCCGTTTTTTCACAATGGTCCCCTCCACTTTTGTAATATTGAATTTGATTTTTGTTTTTAAAAAATAGAATAACGTATTATTACATACTAAAGAAAATCATTTATGTTATTATTGTATGATTAACACCATTATATTTTTTTTGGTTAAATCTATGTTTTGCAAGTAGATAACTTAGAAAATCTGATTGCATAACCTACATGAAGCTAAAAACATATCATTGAATTATTGATTTAAATTATAAAGTACAAATTAAAGTTTCTAGAAACTAACGACAACAATTTCTGACAAAATAATAGCAATTTTTTTCAAATAGCGATTAATGTTTCTGGAAATAAGAGGACGTTATAAGATTGAAATTTTTAAAATTCTTTTTACTAACAAAAAAATGCGGTTCAAAATTTATTTTTTCTGAAAAAATTGTTTGAAATCTCGAACTCCTTTTTTTCCAGTAGTTCCAGTAGGTTGGAATATTGATATATAGTTCAAAAATCATGAGCAACTTCAAAATAGGTATTTTTGAATTATATATGAATTTTCAACCTACTAAAAAAAACCGAAATTTCAAACTAAGTTTACAAGAGAAAGAAAAAAAAAACTTTGAGCCACATTTTTGTCAGAAAAAAATAATTTCAAAAGTTTCAAAATTTGCAATTTCGAAAAAAAAAGGTTATTAATGAGACGTGTTTCTCTTATTGTGGTTAATGAGATCAATACCTTTTAAATAATCTTGTAGTTGTAGAAACAGCATAAATTTTCTAAAGTAATATAAATTTTCAGCTTTCACAACTAGAAGAATGTTTTCCTAAATCCTAATTACATTAGTTACACCGATTTTAATAACCCGTTTTACTACTACCTACAGAGACGTAGCTATTCATACTCATTGTAGGTCCTAGGACCTACCTATTTTCTTTTTCAATACAACAATTCTATATAAAAAAACATAAGGAACTATCTTATTTTTGCCAAAAGACCTACATTTTCATACTTTTTTCCATTTCATTTATATAAGGATAAAAAAAACATAAGGAACTACCTTATTTTTGCCAAAAGACCTACATTTTCATACTTTTTTCCATTTCATTTATATAAGGAATCACGTTGATTTTGGTTCTAGATTCGCCACTAACTACCTAATATAAAAGAGAGGATGCTATAAAACATACTAACAATATTTTTTATTTTCGTAATAAAAGTTTACAATATTTGATTTGTAAGCAGTTTAATAGTAAACAAAACATAAAATAACTCTTCGTTAATAAAAAAAAAAGAAACAACAATCGATATAACTAATAAGATGTTATATAATGTTAACGTCTAAAACTTCTGTACTTCTATGACATATTTTCTTAATAAGTCCGTCTTCTTAGATTACATTATGCTTCTTTTGGAAATATATGTTCAAGTCTTTTTATATTAACTTTTATTATAAAAATTAATAATGCTATCATTCTTTATTTCATTAATATCATATTTATGACATCATGAGTCATAACAATTCAACCACTAAACACATCTGTCTGACAGCAATTCCATATCAAAACAACACTACAAATTCAAACAAGTCATGAATGGCCAACAAGACACTAAAACAGCACTTAGTAGAACTACAAGGGAGCTTTTGGCCGAAACCTAAAACTTGAGGGTAATTTGTGGAACTACAAGCTAAAACTGGAGCAGAAAGCCGTACCGAGTTACAACGAGTTGACTCGGGTTTGTGTGAACATGGATGTTATTTGTTGACTTTAGGAGTCAATTGAGGAAACTTGATTATCAATTTGTTGCTTTTTTTTTAATTAATTGAAAAGGTGGGTTTGTAGACTTTTTGACAATTTTCATGTAAATACTAACATGGAAAACGACTTGGTTTTTTATTTATACCCATAATTATTTTTTAATCAAAATGCCAAACTCTTAATCCTTAGCACTATTTGCATTGGAAAAATAAAATAAAAAATTGTGTCTTATTATATTCTTCAAGATAAAATAAAATATAACTATTTTATGCTAAAAAAAATATGAACGATTTTTCTTAGTTTAATTATTTGTGCATTAATAATTATTTTGGAACGGTAATAATATTGATTATAATAATATAAGCCCGCTTAATTTTGTTTTAGTAGATTTATTTGTTTAACTTTATTTTACTATAAAAGTAATAATTTAAAAACTATTAGCACCCATAAAATTTGATTGTTGATAAATTTAATATCTATGACTAGGCGAAGATATATGCATTGTACATAATATAATAATATAATTAAAATATTAATACATATATGCTAATAAAATTATTTTATCATTGTTATTAATTTCAAATAAAGAATTCTTACATTAATTCTTTATAAAACATTCTAACTATTATAGACATATAATAAAATAGATAATATTAATGACTAATCAAATAAATAATTTTTACCATAATTTATTATAAACATTCGAACTATTATCAACTTGTGGGTATATATTAAAATAAAAATAAATTTATTTCTATAAGTACTTTTAGTAATTAGTAGCTAGTAAATTTAGATAAAAGGTTTTTATGATAATATTATTTTAATAGAGTAGGTTATATGTGAATTTGACATTTTGATTTTTTATTGTATATTTAATATTATATATAGACTTTTATTATTTTTAAATAATTAAGAAACTACAACTTTTGAGGGAAATTATCAAATAGAGTAAATTATACGAATCATCTCTCATTTAGGTGTCAAAATGCACGTTTAGTTCTTATTTTCAAAAATTAATTCAGACCGTTCAACATGTCGTTAAAAGTTGAACGATCCATCTCTCATTAGTTTAAATTTGAACGTTTCATCCTTTTTGATACATAAAATACTATAATACCCCTTTACTTTTCTTTTTCGTTTATTTTGAACATTTTTTATATTTTTAATTATTAAAAAAATATTTAAATTATTTTTCTATTTTGTTGTATAAGACTTGACCACCACCACCGGTAATCTACACCGTCACCGGAAAAGTGGAGCACCACCGGAAAATGTAGACCATCGCCATCCCTCACTTCACCATACTCATTCCTCCGTTAAAAGTTAACATGTTTCACTAAAAATAACTACAAATCACCACCTTATTCACCGAACCAGTAACAAATACTTAAACCACCATCAAACTAGGCACATTTACTATTAACACCGCTACCGGCCTCCATCGGAAAAAACACCTGCAAATTAGAAAAGAATAATCAAGAAAAATTAGTAAGCATGAATTTGGGAGATGGAAAATCTAATTCGATACAAACCTGATTGAAAGCAAAGGATTTAGGGTTCTTAAATTGAACGCAAACCTGATTTAGCGAACCTGCAAATCCGATTCGTTACCGAGGAAGATGGCAATAAGGGGTTGTAAATATGCACTTCGTACGACCGGTGATCCACCATCGCCACTTTAGTCGTCTTCGCCACCAGCGTGTTGCCATCGTCGCATCATCTAGGGTTCGCATCATCATGTCATCGTATAAGAGGATCGTCGATGGAGACGATTTGGTTTCGATCTGAACCTACTTCTTCGATCTCAATCTCCCTCTTCTACGATCTGCATGATAGACTTGTGACCTGGTCTGTTTGTAACGCCCGGATCCTAGAGTGGAAACTTGAGGTGCTTGGTTGAAGGAGGAAGCTTTGGATCCAGAGATTTCGTTGTCAAAGCAGCCTTGCTGAGGTA